TAATAGATTGAAAGATGTATCTGTTGGTTAAACATGATACAGACAACAGTAATAGATGGAAAGATGTATCTGTTGGTTAAACATGATACAGACAACAGTAATAGATTGAAAGATGTATCTGTTGGTTAAACATGATACATACAACAGTAATAGATGGAAAGATGTATCTGTTGGTTAAACATGATACAGACAACAGTAATAGATTGAAAGATATATCTGTGGCTAAACAACATTTGGTTAAACATAAACACATCCAACCAACAAGCATCAAAAGAATTGTCATGCAGTTAATGAGTGATTAATCAGTTTTTATGTTTCCAGAAAAATCAATCATTAATATTTTCTTCTGTTTATCAGAAGCCCAGTGCATGTGAAACTAAGAATGAAAAGCCATAACTCTTATAAAACATGTACTAAGTTTGTAAACAGCTCTAACACAGTAACAAAGTTACTGTAATAGTTATACCGACTTACAACGTTTAACACAGTAACAAAGTTACCGTAATAGTTATACTGACTTACAACGTTTAACACAGTAACAAAGTTACCGTAATAGTTATACTGACTTACAACGTTTAACACAGTAACAAAGTTACCGTAATAGTTATACTGACTTATAAAATTTGTAACTTACATTTTTATAGGAATGTTAATTTAAAATTAGTTATAAAAATTGATACGTATAGTGATGCCACAGCTCTGGTTTTACTGTAAACGTATTGACATGTGTTGTTTATAGAACTGTGTATGTTAATTTTTAGCTCTCTAACCTATGTTGTTTATAGAACCGTGTATGTTAATTTTTAGTTCTCTCACCTGTGTTGTTTATAGAACTGTGTATGTTAATTTTTAGCTCTCTCACCTGTGTTGTTTATAGAACTGTGTATGTTAATTTTAGCTCTCTCACCTGTGTTGTTTATAGAACCGTATACGTTAATTTTTAGCTTCTCACCTGTGTTGTTTATAGAACTGTGTATGTTAATTTTTAGCTCTCTCACCTGTGTTGTTTAACGAACTATGTCATTAATTTTAGGACATGGTGGAATGAGTGCAGCCTCTACACCTGGAGACAGCAGGATAGGCCTTGAACAAGGGAAAGGAACTTCTGATATGCCAAGAAAGCCCAAACACATGCTAGTCATCTCGGGAGGAGAGGGTTATATTGATTTTCGTATTGGTAACTATTGCTCTTCTAATACTTACACTCGTTAAGTGATTCATTTCATACTAGAATTTGTTTAAAACGTGAAATGTACTTTTCAGGTGATGGAGATGATGAAGAAGGGGATGCTACCGGAGAGAAGTCTCATCATGGACTTTCTAAAGGGGAGAGAAGCCATCTCATTGTTTGGCAAGTAGCCCTTGGATAACTATTACTGTGAAGATAACACTATTGTTGTAGGTCTAACAGCTTACAAGTTGGTTATTGTTTTTTCCTATTGGTCTGTTTGATATTTATAAAACAAGAACTGAACACTGCATGTTAAAATGTGTATGGCAGCAGCAACGCTTGTGAGAGTTAATAACTGTATATGTATAAAAATACTGTATGTACACAAAGCCAAAGGCTTGTAAGCACCTTTTGCCTGAACAAATGGCTCAGTGAAGCTTTTGTTTAATTTTAGTATATAAAATGTACATTCAGTTGTTTTATGCATCATCTATTATAAGTACTTTGTTTCTGGTTCACTTCTGTATCCTGAGTTGTAGATATTTTTGTTTTTAACCACAGACTTGAAAAGGGATTGTTTTATTGTTTACAAGAACGTTTTATTTCATGATAGCATATGAAAGTAACAATTTTATTTATAAGGAAGCTGGACTCCGGTTTGTAAGTGTATTTAGAGGAGGTTGTACAGTTTACCAGTTCTGTTTCTTTATAGATCTCATCATATTTAGGTTCTGTACAGAAAGACATGTATGTAGCCATACTGGCCTGCTTCCTGGAAATAAATTTTCATCATTTATGGTGTGTGTTTATTATTTGCTCATAAAGATGTATCACATTACTGCCAATAAAGGTAGTCTTTATAATTTTAACCTACACTACTATACATTTCTTAAGATAATTGGCACCATTTAGAATATTTTCAGGTGTCTAGTGTGCACCTACATAACAAGTCCATGGCAGTGAACATTTTATTTATTAACTAACAGTGTTGGTAAATTTACATATACTTGTCTTTCTTCCACCTGTTATCAAAATCACCCATCCTCATTAAGTCTTTCTTCTACAGCTGCTACTCTATTGGACAGATCTGTTAATACTGCCTGAATCTAGAGAGATGAAAAAGTATTTCATAGTTACTAAAATAAATGGTTTACGGGGAATATTAGGTGATTAAAGTAAAAAGCTCTAGAGGAAATACAGTCAAACCAAGATTTGCTGAATATGTGATGCACAGTTTTAGACACAGTAAATAATGGACAAACTGGGCAAATATGGAGCAAGCTGTGTATCAACAATGAAATATTTATTGAGAAAGTTAATCAACTAGTAGCAGAGTTTGGGTGCTACAGAGGACGTATTAAAATATTTATTGAGAAAGTTAATCAACTGGTAGCAGAGTTTCGGTGCTACAGAGGACGTATTAAAATATTTATTGAGAAAGTTAATCAACTGGTAGCAGAGT